GTGATGTCTTTGCCTGGTAGTAGCTCTGGTGGGATAGTGCCTAAGGCATTTTGCTGCTAACCAGAAGGTTGGTGGTCTGAACCCACCAGCCACTGCTCAGAAGGAAGATTGGGCAATCTACTTCTGTAGTGGTACCACCTCATAAACCCAAGAAGGAGTTGCTATGAGTCAGATCTGACTCCACGGCAATGAGTTTAGATGCAATACAATAAAAGAAATTTTGTGAAGTATCATCCCTAAATTCAATGAAAGACAGATTTTTTTTTACCTTATCTTCTCATTTTCAGCCACAGGAAGATACAATACCTGAAATATTTTCAGACTTAGGGATTTATAAAACTAAAAAACCAAAGCAACTCACTGCCATCGAGTCGGATCTGACTCATAGCGACTCCTCGCTGGGTTTCCTAGGCATTATCACTACGGAAGTAGATTGCCCAATCTTCCTTCTGAATTAGCTACTGTTAAATTATAAATTGCTATTATAATAAAAATATAATAAGTGTGATTACAATAAAAAAGATAAATAATGACAAGTATTGGCAAGGATGTAGAGACATTTGAACCTTTGTACATAGCTGGTGGGAATGTAAAATGGCTATGCCACTTTGGAAAACAATCTGGAAGTTCTTCAAAAGGTTAAAAAAAGAGTTACCATAAGGCCCAGCAATTCCACTCCAAGTTATATACTCAAGAGAAATGAAAACATCTGTCCACGTAAGAACTTGTACACAAATATCCATAGCAACATTATTTATAATTGCCAAAAAGTAGGAAAACCCAAATGTGCATCAACTGATGGATATATAAAATACAGTATATCTGTATAATGGAAAAATAAAATAGAGTGTATCCATATAATGGAATATTATTTGGCAATAAAAGGAAATGAAGTACTGATATATGCTGTAAAAAGGATGAACCTTGAAAATGTAATGCTGAGTAAAGAAGCCAGTCATAAACGGCCACATATTTATGATTCCATCAATATGAAATGTCTGGAATAAGCAAAACTATACAGAGAGATTTCCTGCTTTGTTTTTTTTTTTTTTTGATAGAGACAGACAGTAGATTAATAGTTGATTAGAAATAAGGGGGTGGGAGAAACAGGGAGTGACTACATAAGGGTATGAGTTTTCTTTTTTGGGGTGATGAAAATGTTCTAAATTTGGTTGTAGTGATAGTTATACAACCGTGACATACTAAAGACCAGTGAATTGTATAGTTTTAATGAGTGAATTTTATGACATGTGAATTATATCTCATAAAGTTACTATAAAAAAATAGAAACTGCCATTTACGTGATTCATAAATTTTGAGGAGTGAAAATTTAAGAATTCATAGCTAAAGGCCATGTGTTCATGAGTCATATACACATTAACAGAGTAATATTGATTTGACAAAACAAAATATTTTACCAGTATTTGGGAAGTGCTTACTTGGTGTTCTATCTCCGCTTTAGACAATCCCTCAATCTTCTTTTCCAGTCTGTCTCTGTCTATAATGGTCTTAGTATTCTGATATAGAAGAAGGCAGCATTTTAGATTCAGCACCAGGAAAAGTAAAAGAACATTACAATCAAAATCTGTTTTAGGAAGGGGTATTTTCATCATTAATATTGCTTTAAATGTATTTCAAACTAAATGACAACACTTCAGGCTTTATCCAAAAAATAAAATGATCTTTTTAATATGACCATTCAGGATTAACCTCAGTTGTCCCTTTTTATCATCCTTTCCATCTCAACTACTCACTCTTACAGTCATATCTTCACATTTGTCATTATCAATAACTGTAACCTTTTCCATTGTCTTAATTTCTAATATCTCATTCGTCACCCCTCACCTCTTATCTTTCCAGAATACTTCCTCTAGAATCAACAGAACTTCAACCCCATTGTAACCTGCAATCCACTGATGCTACCACCATTTCATTGTCATTCAACCTCCTCATGAACTCAGCCCCCTCTTTACTCGGCTTAAATTTCCCCATGGTCAGTCATTATAATCACTCCATTTCATACTTCATTTCTTCCCTTTCTCTTGTTGTTGTTTGCCGTTGAGTCGGCCCCGACTCATAGCGACCCCTCCTTGGGTTTCCGAGGCAGTATCACTATGGAAGTAGATTGCCCAACCTTCCTTCCGAGGAGTGGCTGGTGGGTTTGAACCGCCAGCCGTCCGGTTAGCAGTCAAGTGTCTTAGCCACTATGCTACCAGAGCTCCCCCCTTTCTCTTAATATTTGTTTAAATTAAGCATGCTAACCACTATATAAGGATCTATGGTAGTGGAAACGGTTAATTGCTCAGGTGGTTTGAACCCATCTATTAGCTCCACAGAAGAAAAGACCTGGTGATCTACTTCCATAAACATTACAGCCAAGAAAGCATTCCACTCTGTCATGTAGGGTCACTATGAACCAAAGACAATGGTACCCAGCAACAACCATCACTCCAGGGCAGCACTCTTTTAGGTAACCATGGTTAAAGAAAGAATATAATTGACAGGCCACACATGTTAAATTTATTACCTTTAACTTCACTGTTTACTAACAAAGCCATTATATAATCTAATTCTAGTCCATTCACACTACCATTTACCTAAATCAGAGGTAAACAAATTATGCCAACCCTCTAGCTAAATCTAGCTAACCACTTACTTTTGTAATAAAGTTTTTTTAGAACACAGCTGTTCTCATGTGTTTACATTGCTGTCGGCAAAGGTGAGTAGTTGTGATGAAGTGACTAGTAAAGCCTAAAATATTTAAAATCAGCCTCTTTATAAAAAAAAGTTTGCCAACCCCTACCCTAAGTAACCATTTTTCAGTTCCTCTGTCCTCAAATTCCCAACCCCATTTCCAACATCCTCTCAGCTGATGACTTGGCTTCTAACTTCATTGAGACAATAGTAACAATCAGAAGAACTTCCATATTATTTGAATATATAATAAATACCTTTCAATAAACAAAACATTTTTAAAATCTGAATCCTTCTATATACCTCCACAGTTACTGTTTCAGTCCAAGCTTCCATCAGCTTTTTTTAAAATGTATTTTATTGAAATGTAATTTATGTGCAGTGAAATACACAAAACTGAAGTGAGGTGGGTGAATGTATCTTTTTTTTTTTTTTCTGGCAGTGTTCCCTCCCCTCCCCTCCCACCCTCCACAACAAGGAGCTAATACTATATTTGTCCTTCTGTGATTGACTTATATCACTCAGCATAATGTCCTCCAAGTTCATCCATGTTATGTGGTGTTTTGCAGACTCTACATAATTCTTTAGTGCTGCATAGCATTCCACTGTAACATAGTTCACTTTTCCATTGATTGGCACATAGGATGTTTCCATCTTTTTGCTATTGTAAATAGTGCTGCGATGAACATGGGTGTGCATATATCTGTTCCTGTCCTGGCTTTCACCTCTCTAAGATATATACCTAGTAATGGGATTGCTGGGTCAAATGGTATCTCCAATTCTAGCTTTCTAAGGAAACATCATACTGCTTTCCATGGAATCACCATACTTTCCACAGTGGTTGTATCACTTCACAGTCCAACCAGCAGTGTATGAGAGTTCCAATCTCTCCACATCCTTACCTGCATTTGTTATTTTCTGTCTCATTGAATCTTGCCATCAGTGCTGGGGTGAGATGGTATCTCATTCTTGTTTTGATTTGCATTTCTCTGATGGCCAGTGATCATGAGCATCTCTTCATATATTAGCTGGCCACCTGAACATCCTCCTTGGTAAAGTGTCTTTTCATGTCTTCTGCCCATTTTTCAATTGGATTGTTATTTCCTATGCTGTTGAGGCATTGGAGTTTTCTATAAATCTTAGAGATAAAGTCCCTTGACAGATATGTAATTATCAACAAGTATGAATTTGTTGCTGTCATTTTGTTATGTGTTTTTTTCGTGGTGTTGATTTCTTTGTTCCATATAATTTTCTATGCTGAGCTCATTTTGTTTATGAATTGTGTTATCACTTCCTTCATTGCTAGTGTTTTTGTATTTGCTAAATATTTATGCTGGTCCTCTTTTTTATTTTGATGTAAAGGTTTATCACTTTTTTTTTTTTTTTTGAGGTTACTCTGATTTGTAGTTTTCTTCCCAAGTTTAGAATAGTCTGTTCTATCTTGCGGTTCTCTTGACTTCCCTACCATAGAAGTTCCCTACAAGTTCTGTAACTACACAATTATTTCCCTCTTTTTGGTTTGTAGATGTCCTCATTTTCAATTGATGTCTCTGGTTCCCTGTTCACAATCTTGTAGGCTTATTTACTTTGGATACTTCTATTACTGATTTGGGTTCTGGGTTATGTCATCATGTGTATTAATGGTCAGTTGTTTGCTGTTGTTGGTTCTCTGTCCAAAGGGCTCCCTTTAGCATCTCTTGTAAGGTTGGCCTGGTTTTAACAAATTCCCTTAATTTCTGCTTATCTGGAAATGTGCTGATTTCACCATCATATTTGAGGGACAATTTTGCTGGGTATGTAATTCTTGGAAATTTTTCTCTTTCAGTGTTTTATATATATCAACTCATTGTCTTCTCACCTGCATGGTTTCTGCTGAGAAATCCGAGCTTAATCTTATTGGTTGCCCCTTGTAGGTAACTGTGGTGGTTACGTTTGAGTGTCAATTTGGCTGGGCCTGGTTGAGTGGCTGGGCAGCTGAATGTAGTTATTCCCCTTGGTGAGACTGGTAATTAACACCATGATGGAATCTACTGGAGCAGCTGAGTATCTGCTTTGGGTATGTGGTCTGCTTCCTGTATATAACAAACAGTTTTGGAAATGGTCTCTAGCATATGGCACACTTGGACCCTGCATGTAGCTGTATTGTTGTTCAGCAGCCTGCCATGCTCTGCCAACCTTGGGACTTACAATGGACTTGAATTAATGGCCTTCCATGTGGTTTGGTAACATCGAGATTGTGCCCTTTTATTTGTCAACCTTGGTCTTGTTAGCCTCAACAGTCAGTAGCTGCCTGAGTGAAGAAAAGCCTCTAGCTTCAGTGGGCCAGGAACAGGATGCAGAGCTGAAGCCCAAGGTTGAGGAGCCCCTAAGCCTGGCACTTTGAACTCAGACTTCTAGCCTCCTGAACTGTAAGAGAATGAACTCCTGTTTGTTAAGGCCATCGCATTTGTGATATTCTTGTCAGACCACTACTAGGTAACCAGAACAGTAACTTTTCGTTTTTCCCATGCTGTTATCAGGATTCTTTCTTTGTCTTTGGATTTGGTGAGTTTGATGATATGTCTGGGTGATTTTCTTTTGGGGGCTATCCTGTTTGGGGTTTGTTGGACTTCTTGAATGGATATATTCTCATCTTTCATCATACCAGGAAAATTCTCTTCCAACAAATCTTCGACAATTTT